AAACTTAATTTTTTAAATTAGCCAATCTTCTACCCAAAGGTCTAATCTACACATAAACATTCAATTATATCTATATATATAACAATTAGTGTTATATATGTACCTATATATTGACGAAAAATAATAATACAAATCAACAAACATGCCCGATTAACCAATAGCAACCAAAATATAATACATTATTATTTTTATTTTTTTTTTGGCCATGTCAAAAGTTGTGCACTTAAGAGACCACAACCACTCATCGTACATTGTACAAACTTCACAGAAACCATCTACATATCCATACAATTGAAATTGAATAAAAATCAATCTCGTTTAATCTCAAACCAATTAATATTTATCTAGAAAATAGAATTGTTGTTGTCATGTCAACAGACGTTTTTTTCATTTTTCATACATTTTGTTGTTGTTTTTGGTCATGTCGCCAGGTGTGCACTTATGAGGCCATAACTCCGGAACCATTTATCGCACAGCGTACAAACTTCACAGAAACCATCTACATATAAATCTTAATATGCCCTGAAATTTTTATCGAAATCGGTTCGGTGGATCTTGAGCTATAAGATTTATTCAAAATGTACACTTATTTTTATATATATAAGAAGATAGATAAGCATCTGATTACACTATTACCTATAAGTTAGAAACCAGAAATTTTAGTTAGCTATAATTTAGTTTTTTCATCGTATTTCAAAATATGTTAAATTTTAAATAATAATAAACTGTAAAAATTAATAAGTTTAATTTATGGAAATTGTTGCTGTTAATTTGTAACGTGTGAAAGCTCTCTCTCACACAGTTAATAATGTTCTGGGGTGTAAATTTAGCCCAAAATCCATATTACCTTTTTTGAAATGTAAAATTCTCCATGATTTTTAACTAGGTTAAATACTAGGGTCAAGTGGGGTGAATGAAAATAGTGCAATTGGAAACGATATTAATTTCTCATCGATGGGTGGTGATAAATTATCACCATAATTATCACTGATAATATTATATTATATCGAACTTAAAAAAATAATAAAATTCTCATTTTCCCCTAAGCCACATGTAATATGGGGGCAAATAGAAATCCGAAATATATGTGTACATACTTCATACATTCAACTATTCAAGTATAATAGGTATAAAATCAATGCTAATGACAAATATTTTCAAATGTCCTAGAGGTCATTCCTACAGATAACATAGGTAATAACAAATTTGTTTGTTTTCATTTACCCTTAAAAATCATATTTTGTTGGAGCAAATGTTAATGGTAAGTTGAATTTAAAGTTTGAATTTTGACAAAATTTATCAAATTTAAAATGTAATAATTATTTCATAGCTAAAAATGTATAAAATGTTCAACTTTTATAGCTAAGGATTGAACATTTGAAACAAGGTACCACGTAAATAGGTTAATATATAAATTACTTTATTCACAATAATATCATCAAATAATAAATATACTTCGTAATATCATAGGCTGATACTAACGGTTTTCGCTCAGAATCGTTTTTATTATACAATGATATTATATCATTGAATTCAAATTTAATACCATCCATTATACAGTGACCCAGTTTTTTTATTTTGTTATTCAAAAAACTAATAACTTGTTCAAAGTACTTGAAATTTGCATAAAATGTTTCTTTAATAATTTTCAATACAAGATAAAATCTATCAAAATCTCGAAAAATATCAATCGTCGTAATTATTAAAAAATTATAAATTTTTAATTTATTATGCAGGACATGTACCAAGTTTATTATTTGAGTACATTCAGATACTCTTGCCACAAAATATGCGTTAAACATATTTACAGACAGTGGCGTGCCCAAGGGGGGGGGGGGTGGTTATGGGTTATATCCTCCCCCATTGGCTTTTTTTTGTTGACTTTAACTTATTAGATATTACCATAGACATATGAAAATGTTTATTACATATTATATAATTGGATATGGATATTACTTTTAAAATTATCAGTAATAAGTTAGCCCATTGGCTAATATAAAAACATTCACTATACGGATTATACTGATTATAGATCAGTGATTATGTATTCATGTTCATGAGCAATAAATCCTCTAAGTAAAAATTAATAATCAATTATGTTTATGGTAAGATAGAAGATAGAATGATGGATCATGCTAATCACGTAGACTAAAAGAATAGGTCTATGGGTAAATCAGTGGTTAAAAATCACTAATCAGATATAAATTATCAGCTACTTCAATGACCAGTTCTTAACTCTCAATAGATCACAATATAGTTGTGATATTCTATTAATAGCTAATACTCTATTATTGTTACTTTGTGATATAATACAGCAATTCAAACTAAACCAATTGCAGTGATAGTATACACTATACCTACATACAACATACTTACAACAGTTTTTATTTATTATTTAAGTATTTGACATTTAACAATTTTTAGTTCTTTTATTAATAATGGCAAAACGTGATTGATCGATTATGTCATTTTTTTCAAAGAAACCTAAAGCTGATCAGAAGGTAAGTTGGTATTGAAATATTAAGAATGTAAATAATATTATGAAAAAAAGAAGTTTATAAAGTATTAGGTGTACAATTATGTAGTTTAATTTTATATCATGTAATTTAATTATAATAGTGAAGTTTGCATTTATATTAAATATAATCAATTTATTTATTATTGTTTTATGTTAAAAAATATTGAATCACCTGAAGCTATAGTAAAATAGTAAAATTAGCTAATCCAAAAAACAAATCAATTAAATTTTTTAATTTTTAATACTGCAAATTATAACTTAACAAATTGATGATGATGATACCATTGATGATCCTGAACCTATGGTCTCAATCACATGTTCTAAAACAGAATCCGAAGATCCTCAAAATCCTATTTCTAAATTGTTAAATCAGCAAGTAAATTGCACAGTAATATTTTGTTAATTTAAATGAGTTATAGACTTAGAAATTATTAACACTCATATATAATTATATTTATATAAAATAAACATAAATATTATTACATTTTTAGATAAGCACATCACTTATGGATACAGATTTTAACACAACAAATGTTGACAAATCAGACTTTTTTTATGTTGTTGATTCAATATCCAAAAATATTAAGGTAATATTCCTTTATATATCTATTTCAATTTTAAATATTTTTTTATTATTACAATATAATAATAATTTGTTTATATTTTGTATATACTAATGTTAATTTATATTTACCTATTCAATTTCAAAACATCATTATTGGACTTATTTTAACCTAATATTCTACATTAAATAAAAATAAATTTCCATTATTTTATGAACTATTAGTTATTAAATTTTAGGAAAGTATTTTATACATTAGCTTTAACATTAATTACTCAACAATTTTTAAAATGTTTTAAAATATATTTATATACACATTTTTCTAATACTTCTGGTTTATAAGTTATATTTATTTAAAAAAGATTTAAACTTTAAAATCTTCAATTTTTATGAAGAATGTATAATTTAATTAAGTTACACATATCCCAATTAAAACTGTATGAACGATTAGTAGGTATATTTAATTTGTTTTCTAATGGCTAATTTTAGATTCTCAGTGGAGCAATTATACTTTATTAAATTTTAATTAATCACAGCTTATTTTAAAGTATTTGTTTTTAGGATTAAAAAATATTTTTGCTTTTACATAATTTTAGTTTATTAAAAAAAAAACAATTACAAAGTAATGCACTAAAAGTTGTATTATAATGCCAAATAGTTTGAAGGTTTGACAACCATTTAAAGTTATTGAGTAAATGTATTTTAAGGGCTAAATATCTAAAGCTACTCAAAATTTAATAAAAGTTATCTTGCTTATAGGAGATTATTTAGCTTTTATTGGTCGCTTAAAAATAAAACAATTATTTAATAATAAATAAATAAATAATACTATTATTATTATATATTATTTTAGTTAAGTTCCAAAGAAAAATTGATTTGTTGAACAAAAATTGGTGTCCAGATCCGGCTTTCAAATTTCCATTATCAGGTAAAAGGAAACTAAGATTTCAACATGCATGGTTTATTCGTTGGAATTGGCTAGTATATTCATTTAAAGAACTTGGTGCTTATTGCAAATTTTGTATAATATTTGGACAAAACGATGGAGGTAGAGAATGCCAAAAACTTGGCAAATTCAGGGTTGTTACGCACTCACTATTCCTCACTATTCTCACTTTATTTGAGTGTAATCACTTTTTCGCACTCATTTCATTGATTCCTCACTTTTTTCATTTTTTTAAAGATCTATAAATGTAAATAAGTGTTTTAATTAAATATTCGAAATTTTTATAATTATTTATGTTTTAAGACTATTTTTAAAAATAAAAAAAAATGAATTGTGGAATAAAAATCCCCAGACTACAATATTACTCATAACCTCATGAAAATTGTTGAACAAATATTTTTTAAACACTAATTAGTATCTATAATTAGTAATTACCACATTATTAATATTTAATTACAAATACGTATATTATATTATATTATACTATATTATAATATAATTCAAAAAATGTATATATATAATACTATAATATCAGTTTCTACAGTTGTTATATTTGTTGCTTACCTACATTTTATTTAATATGTTATATAATTTAGGTACTGTAGGTAGAACCAACTATTATTAATATTTAAACAAAATTGTTTTATAAGTATAATTTATAACTTGCTTATAATAAACTGAAAAAGTAAAAAACAACTGAAAATATTTTAAACAATTGTATTTTATTTTTATGTTTTTGTTTAAAAAAACTCACCTATAATATGAAAATAATACTCACTTTTTACTAGAATATTACTCACATAGTTGAAAAAAATACTCACTATTCTCACTTTTTTTAAGAAAAAAATTAGCAACCCTGCAAATTAGTTTTATCTTCATTTAATAATTGGAAAGATGCTACTACAAAATTCAATGATCATTTGGAGAAAGATTACCATAAATTGTCTGTTTTAAAAGCAGATAATGTAATTGATATGTACAAAAACCAAAAAAAACCTATTGATGTTCAGTTAAATGATTATCTAAAGAGTGAAATTCAAAATAACCGGGATAAAATTAAGCCAATTATTGATACTTTAATACTTTGTGGTCACCAAGGTTTAGCAACAAGAGGACATCATGATTCTGGTCTCATTGATGTTGGAAAAGAGTTAAATGACGAAAATGATGGAAATTTTCTGGCATTACTTCGCTATAGAGTAGCAGGTGGTGACTTGATGTTGAAAAAACATTTATTGGAAGCACCAAATAATGCTACTTATTTGAGTGGTAAAATGCAAAACGAAATAATTAGCGTATGTGGAATGATAATTCAAAAGCAAATTATTTCAAAAATAAATCGAGCTAAATGTTTCTCAATTTAAGCAGATGAAACTGCTGATGTATCCGGTATAGAGCAATTTTCTATTTGTGTAAGATATTATGATGAAGATTTAAAGAAATTAAGAGAAGACTTTTTAGTATTTATACCTGTTACAGATGCTACTGGAAAAGGGTTAGCTACAAAAATATTAGAAACTCTAAGTTGTTTAAGTTTAGAAACAAAATATTTAAGGGGTCAAGGATATGATGGTGCGGCATCAATGAGTGGTAGTTTTAGTGGTGTAAAAGCACACATTCTTGAAAAGTATCCACTGGCATTCTATATAGGTACACTATACTTCGCATAGCTTAAATCTTGCAGTCTCTAATGCTTGTTCAGTGAAAAGTTTACGGAATACTATGGGAAGTATTCAAGAAATATGTGTCTTTTTTAGAACTCCCAAACGTCAACATGTGCTGGAAAAAACTATTGATAAAGTTTTACCGTCAACTAATAAGAAACGTTTGAAAATTATGTGCCCTAGTAGATGGGTTGAACGCCATGATGCCATTCTAGTATTTATTTAGTTATATAAAGCTATTTTGGTGGCATTAGATGAAATAACCGAATGGGAAGATATTAATATATTAATATCAATATACATCATCAAAAGCAAAACGACTTATGATAATTATTGAACAACCAGAATTTATTATAACAACACACATCATTGGAAAAGTTTTCTCTGTATGTATGCCTCTCAGTCGCCAACTTCAGACAGAGAATATTGATTTGTTAACAGCTTTAAAAGTAGCAGGAGATGTTCAAAAAATATTACAAAGATTTAGAGAAAATGTAGTCAATGATTTTCATATTGAATTTTTAAAAATTGAACAATGGTGCCAAGATTTGAATATTGGTACAGATTTTAAAAAATTAACAAGAACACAAAAAAAACTCTTAGATGAATTAGTTACTTCAACAAATAAAACAGCTGAAGATTTTTACAGATTGAAAATATATGTACCATTCTTGGATAATTTTTTATCACAGTTACATGATCGATTTATAAAACATCATAAATTATTGCAAAGTTTTAGTTGTATTCTACCTGGCTATAAAACTCATTCAGGAACTGATCAAGATATTAAATACCTCATTGATACATATAAAGAGGATTTGAATAACAGTAGCTTAGTTATAACTGGAGAATTATATTTATGGCAGGAAAAGTGTAATGAGATTCATGTATCAAAAAGCGCTCTTGTTGTTTTTAGTGAATGTGACATAATGATATTTCCACACATACACAAATTATTAAAAATTTTAATAACCCTACCAGTTACTACCGCAACTGGTGAACGGTCATTTTCCACATTAAAGCGTTTAAAGACTGATATAAGGAATTCTATTGGACAAGCAAGATTAAACGGCTTAGCTCTGATGAACATTCATCGAGACATTAAAATAAATACTGATGAAGTCATTAATGAGATGAGTACAAAATCTAGGCGGTTAAATTTTCGTTAGGAATAATTAAGTTGTTTTTAAGAATTATTTTTCTTTTGTATATTAATTATTTTAATAAAGGTTATAAATGTTTTTAGTTTAATGTTGTGATTTTATTTAAACAATAGTGTATAGTGTGTGGCTATTTAAATTAATTCTAATTAACGATACTCAATATGCATGAATGTACATATGTTTGGAAATTTTTGTGTTTGGATAATCATGATTAATTTAAATGTACTTTTACTAAAAAATGTATAACATATATCTCCCCCATTGAAATTTCCTGGGCACGCCACTGTTTACAGACCAGTATGTTAAAGTTAAACACAAATCAACACATTGACGTTTTTATTAGTTTATTTTATTACTTTCATACTTTTTTCTAAAAATATACAATTTATTTATATGGTTAATTATTCATTTTCATTTATACATTTAAATACAAACCATTCCACACAAAAAAATGTAAGGCTGGTTATTATGCAGGTTAGGTTAGGTTACGTTATTATTATGTTCCAAGTTTATTTTTTTAGTTTTTATACAGTCATACTCCTACTGTAAAAAAACGATAAACAAATTTACAGACTTGCAGTGTGTTAAACTCAAATTTTAACACATTGACAGACACAGAGGACACTTTATAAATTCCAATAACTCTGTGTGGGAACGCACTTTTTTATTATTTATATAGAAATGTAGTAAAATATAGAACCAAAAGTTTCGGATCCTCTGGCGTGTGATCTCCAACCCCTCAATTTGTTTAATTTATTTTGTATGATATGATTTTGTATATGCAAACAGCATAATTCTATAACACAATAACAACAGCATTGAAATAATTGAGAAATTATTATCTTTTTTCTGTTCACATTAACTAATCACAATTGTGGACACAAAAATGCATTTTATAATTTCACCAAATTATTGATTCCCTGAGTTGTGTGGTACTCAGTATGTCAGTTCAATAATAGACATAGAGATAACTATTTTGGTATGATATTTATTTTTTATTAAAAAAAAAAACAAATATTAAGAGGACTCTTTTTAATGAATAGGCATTATTAATATTGAAAAAAACAATAGGAGTTTATGTTAATTTAAAATATGTTTGTATACTTGTTTCCACATAAGAAGATATATTGAGCTACATAATTATATAAATATTAAGTAGTTACTGTGGTCAGAGTTATGAAAATTAACTAACGATTTATTTTTTAACAAGACAGTTAAACGATATATAGCAGTATGTGCTAATACTAAGTAACCTTACTAAAGTGCATGAGATACGACTTGTACTGTGTGTATAAGTGATGTGAAGTCAATTTAAGTTGCAAGTATACTACTTTATACTTATATAATAAATTATGTAGCTCAATTAGTCTGATTATGTGGAATCAATAGTATACATACATATTATTTTAAAATAATATAAACTAATATGGTTTTGCAATATTCATAATACCTATTCATTATGGAGATTCCTCCTAATATTTGTTTTTTTTTAATGAAAAATAAATATCATGCCAAAAATGTAATATGTCTATTATTGAACTAGATATGCCGAGAACGCAACTTGGGGAATCAATAATTTTGTGAAACTACAAAATGCATTTTTGTGTCCACAATTGTGATTAGTTAATGTGAACAGAAAAAAGATAATAATTTCTCAATAATTTCAACGCTGTTGTTATTGTGTTATAGAATTATGCTGTTTGCATATACAAAATCATATCATACAGAATAAATTAAACAAATTGAGGGGTTGGAGATCACACATCAGAGGATCCGAAACTTTCGGTTCAATATTTTACTACATTTCTATATAAAGAATAAAAAAAAGTGCGTTCCCATACAGCGTTATGGGAATTTATACAAGTGGTCCGTCAATGTATTGAAATTTGTGTTTAACATACCGGTCTGTGAATTTGTTCAGAGCGTCTATTGTTGCAGGAGTGTTTGACTGGCCAAACTCAAATAATAAACCTGGCACATGTCCTGCATAACCAGCCATACATGTTTTTTGTGGATTTCCGTTCTCCAAAAAATAAGTTTTTTTGCTAGGTGGACTCGGCGAAGTCTGTTTGTATTGTTGTTTGAATACTTTTTCAGCTTCCAAGTCCTATAAAATATTTTGATAGTCTTTTATTCAAAATTGAATACATTAATGAATAACCATATAAATGTATTGTGTATCTTACAAAATAAGTATAAATGTTATAAAATAAACAAATAGAAATGTATGCCTGAACCTAAACATATGAAAAAACACCAAATATTGAAAAGAACTAAGCGATTCAGCAGAAAAAATAAAACAATTAAATGAACATAGTTTTTGTTTCGATTAATTAAAAAACCAACTACTATTAGCACCGACTTGGATTTACCTATATTAACCTACTTTATAAAATAAGCCTTAAATATAATTTAGAAAGAAATATAAATGTTACCTACAATCTTATTTGTATTACAATAATAATACTTCAAAACAAAAGTGATTTTCCTTGTTATGTTAGTACTTAGTGGTTAGTGGTAATAGTATCAATAATATTATTGAAAATCGACGGTACGTTTAAAATAATCAAAATATTTCTATGTACCAACATTTTATAACAGTTTATATTTCACCTTTTTGAATAATGGATGTGTATATTCGCTGACGTTTTGTGGTACACCCGCCGCCTGAACATCTAACATTTTCTCATCAATTTTCACAGAAAGTCCTAGTTTCTGGACACATTCTGGACACGAACATGCCTTTAGTATTTTCACAAAATTATTGATTGCCCGAGTTGCATCCGCAGGAAATCTAGTTCAAAAATAGACATAAAACGTTTTAAGTATAGCCGTATATAATAGGCATGATATTTATTTTTTATTAAAAAAAAAAACAATTATTAGGAGGACTCTTTTTTTTTTTTTTAATGAATAGGCTTTGTTAATAGTGGTAAAAAATAGTTTATATTGTTTTAAAATATGCATGTATACTTGTTTCCACATAAGAAGATATATTGAGGTACATATCCGGCATAACCTGGCATTATATCAGTAGTAAACTTGCATCTTAAATTGTCTTCGCATCGCTTATTTATGGACTCTTCTTCTTCAAGAGTACAAACCGTATCGTCGTATACTTGAGTAAGGTCACTTAGTACTGGCACATTGGACCGTTGGACTGTCTTGTCGAAAAACAAATCGTGAGTTAACTTTCCATAACTCTGACCACAGGAACTTTTGTAGCCCGGAACAAATCCAGTGTATCCGGACAAATAATGTGGTTGAGGTGGTAAAATCATTTTGATAGAACCCATGATCATGACTAGTATTCGGTTAGGTCAAACGTGTTAAAACTTAATTTTTAGTAGTTAATACTACAACTTAATAGGTAGATACTAAGTTTATAAATTGATCGAAAAATTATAATTATAAGTGTATGTTATTGGACCATGGAAACTATAAATAATATATTATGCAAACATTTACGAATAAACAAAAATGTCTTTTATTATTCTGGTAGGATCTAGGTACAACATTTTAAAGTGAAAAAAAATGTTAGGTACTCCTAAAACTATTCCGACATTATTTAAATAGGTACTATAATAAGATACAATATTAAACTGACTATATTATAGGGGCCCGATGCCGGTTTTTCAAATTTTCCGCAATTCTATAAAATTTGAAAATTATATTTTATATTTAAGTTGCCATTTTAATTATAATACTTTTCGACTAATCTACTGCTCGAATAGCTCGATACCTGCCTATGCGCCTACTCTAATAATTTCTGTCATCGGTCCAAAGTTTTCTGAGGATGGACTTGTATTTATATACTTATTAGATATTTAGGTCACTACTCCCTTATCACTTCAATATTTTGTTGTATTTGTTTTGACGTTGAGCAGGGCTGTTTATCTACTAGGTGACCTGCATATAACAATATTAAGTAGATAAATTAATAATAACGTCACAGGAATTGTTGGGAATTATTATTATTTTTAAAGTACCTAGGTACTTACCAACAGTAATAATTTTTTTACGTCATATTTCTAAGTTTTATAAATTAAAAGTAATTCGTTTTTTTTTCAAACGATTGTAAATACATTTATTTGTTCACTGTTGGTTGTTTATATTTTATGCTTTGACGTGTTATTGATGAAAATATTCTTCGGTATATAAAAAGAAAAAGTCAGTTATCATTAAATCATTAAAACAAGCTTATAATAATAATAATAATATTTCTTTATTACGGAAATAAATTCCAATTACAGTTTTTTTTTTTTTTCATATAATATAGGTTTATATAATTTATTGTACACGTACAATACAGTAAAATGAGTTATATATAACAATAATTTTAATAACGATGATAATAATAATAATAATAATAATAATACAAATAACTTAAAATTTAAAGAGCAAATAGGTATTAATATCATACAATAAATATTTAAATATTTAAATTTCTATAATAAAAAATACAATGAAATAAAAACGAGATATTAATTTTATTTATAGTACCTAATTTCTTATGTATTTCTTAGAACATTTGACATAAAAGTATTTAGAGAATTACCAAAAAAATCAATATTTTTTATAGAGTTGCCTGTGGACATTAAAATATTTGATGGAGAATTTCGCATATAGTTTGTAGCTGAATGTTTTATGTAGAATAAATTTATACAAACTGAATGCCGGATATAGCTTAATGCCTAATTGAATATTCAATTAATTAAAAAAAAAATAATGTATTAACTTTAATAAATTAATAACAAAATATTTTAAAGGTTATTAAAGTAATAAACCAATAAAGTAATGACGGTTATCGTTAAATTCGAAAAACCAAAAGGGCATCTCGGTTCTAACCAATGCCACAGCTGTCAGAAAATCAGTCATACACGAAACTATAATAAATTTAGGGCTAGGATTTATATGCAATAACAAATTGTAAAATATGCATTTGATTTACAAAAATATGCAAAAACAATTTTTTATTATTTCTAGATATATATTTTTATCATAAT